AACTGGTTTATGTTTTGATTGAATTGTTGATTGTGTTTGGTGTGTGTGGGGGGGGGGGGGGGGGGAGGGAGAGAGAGAGAGAGAGAGAGAGAGAGAGAGAGAGAGAGAGAGAGAGAGAGAGAATATATATGGGCATTTATGTGTAGATCAGAGAACAAAGTTTGGTCTTCTTGTTTGAGACAGGGTTTTTGCTCAGTGCTTGGTAAGGGATGCTCGCTGAAGAGTTTCTGGGATCTTCCCATTTCTGCCCCATATGTTGTAGTATTACAGATGGGTGCAACCATTTGTCACTTTATATGGATTCTGGGGAATCCAAATTTTGATTCTTAAACTGTGCAGCAAGTGCTTTATCCATGGATCAATCTTCCTAACCTCCTCTATTTTTATTTTTGATACATAGTAATTTCATTTTTATGGGCTGCATTAAGATGTTTTAATTGATTGGCATGCCTATTACTTGATGCATATGTGAGTGTGTTTATGTTGAGAACATTCAGAAGTTTTTCTTTTAGTTATTTTGAAATATATCATTGTTGCCAACCAGCTGCTCTTCAGTGTTAGAGAATATTAGCAGTTACTTCTTCTAGCCAGGCATGGTTGCTCATGTCTGTTGTATTTCAGCATTTGGGAGGCTGAGGTCGTAGGATTGCCATGAGTTTGAAGCCACCCTGGGCCAGCTTGAGCTACAAATGGTATGTGACCTTATCTGAAAATAATTAATGCTCACTGTCCCCTTTCCCCTTTCACCGTGTTTTATTTTTGGCCCCTTAGCCATCCCAGGTTCTGGTAACGACTGTTCTGATTCTGTAAGGTCGACTGTTTAGCTACTGCATGTGAAACCATGTGCTAATTGCACAGTGGTGTGTGTTCTGGCATGAATAGCCTCAGTGCCATGAGCTGTGCACCCCTCAGAAGTCCTGTGGTTGCTCTCACTATTCCTCCTTCCCATCCTCTTTAGCCTTTGTGAGATATTCTAAGCTACCAGAGGAAAAGGTTACATTCATTGTTGAAGGTTAATAGTTTGTCTTCTCTGCCTCCCTTTAAGCCCCCCCCCCCCACACTCTCCCCTTTCTTTTTAGTTCTTTGTTTTTCTTGCTCTAATTGTATAGTCCAGTTGGGCCCATCTCTAAATCCCCTTGCCATAGCCTGCCTAATTTTGGGGTTACAGGTGCGTGCTACCTCATCTCCCCACCCCTTTAAAATTATTACAGTGGGACTCGGGTAGTACATTTCTTTAATCCCAGCTCTTGGGAGGCATAGGCAGGTGGATTTCTGTGAGTTTCAGGCTAGCCTGGTCTATATAGCGATTTCCAGGCTAGTGAGAGCTACATAGTGAGACCTTCTTTCAGAAAAGAAAAGAAAGAAAGAAATATATAGTAGGAATACTGTGATTGTAGGTGTGGGATGTTTTATATGTGTCTTAGTTCATCTTAGAGACAAGTAACAAAGGTTGTTATTCTGAACATTTGGAAAAACAGAAGACATGATGGTGGTTGGCAAAGGAAAGGAATTGCACCTCATCTTGGGTCAAACATTGGGACTGTGAACAGGTTTGCCTTGGACACAGGGACTACAAACACGGGGCCTGGGACTCGGGGAGTGCAAACATTTGGGTCTGTGAACACGGGGCCTGAAAATGCAAAAGCCAAACACTTGTTTTTCTGGTATTGGAGTGGATTCCATTTCTGCCATGTTGGACAAACTAACATAGACCATACCATGAAGTGGTAATAGAAGTATAGCCTTTGCTTAGCTAAAAAGCTGGAGCTAGCTCAAGTATATTTGATGCTCTACATAATGGCATGCTGGGAATTTATGCATTTGTATTTATAGATTAAAAATAAAATTTGCCCCATCACCTTAATCAGCTTTTAGCTGAATGTCTCTTTAATCAGTACACTTTCTCTCAGAGCTTAGTATCTGCTGCAGAAAGTATTGCATAACAGCACTAATAACCATTTTGTGAAAAACCAGAAAAATGTCTATGGTCCTGTCTTGATGGACTTCTTCAGTTCTGCGTTGCCTTCCCTTATGCTGAATCTTGTGACTTTTTTTGTTGTGGATTCTTCCCAGTTCTTCCTTATTTGTTACATCAGAAGTTAGCCTTTAAGGGAAACATGGCAGCTCCTCTTTCCTCTCACAGGCCTTTGCTCTGTCTGAGAAGGGAGTCGGTTCCTCTTGCTTGTAGATTTGTTGAGAAAGGGAATTAAATTTGTCCGTAAGTCTGTCCCAGACAGTATGCTGTGAGAGTACCTGGAGAATTCTGCTGGGAGCAGGTGGATACTTTCAGATCAAGGATATGCAGAAGGGTCTGGAGGCTGGCTAGGGGTTTCGAGCATTTACTGTTTAATTCTATTACTAGTTGTGGAAAGAGACAAACTGTATGTAACTTTGTAAAGTTTCCCTGAGGTGGTCTAGAGCTCTGTTCCTGCCTGGTAGAACATTCCCCTTGGTTCCTCAGATGAGAGCTTATTCCAGTCTGTGGCAACACCTGAGTATTCTGTGTTACTTTAATGAGAACTTCATCACTAACTGACTGTGGCTATAGTGAAGGCAAGGGAGGCTTCTGAAGAAGAAAAGGAAGATGGGTAATTTTGGTTTATGAGGTCTATTGCTGGTTGAGACCTGGAAATGGTCTAGAAGCCAATAAATTTTATAGGGAAAACACATTGGCTTCAGTTAGGACTAGAGTTAGCATCCTGGATGAAGATTGTAGCTGCCCAGGCCCTGAATCTCCTAGAGCTTGTGGTCCAGAATAGTGGTTTTGGGTCAGGTAGGTGCCCACAGACCTGCTGTCTGGACACTGCTGAAGGCACCCATGCCGACCTCAGCAGATGCAGTGGTCTCAGCTGCTGTCCACATAGTGGGCTCCTATGCAGGCCCTTGCTGACAGTGGTAGAGTGTGTACTTTCCTTCCTGAGTGCTGTTCTAGGGACTTACTAGCACCATAATAAACTCCAGCCTATCTTCTCCCCAACCAGAAGTTACTGGCTAAATTCCTAATTGTTACTTTAAAAATCAGTTGGATCGTTGTCCCATGCCATAGGTACAGTTGAATTCAGAGGCTGTCTGTCAGAATTGCCGTATGTGGGCAGGGAGTATGATTCCACGCCCATGGAAAGTCAGGACATGCTAGGGAGCAGCTGACAACTTGAAGGTTGCATTAGCTTGGATGGTTTATGCCTGACACTTCTGGCAGGACTGATGAGTTGGCAAAAATCTGGGGAGCTGTTTCTGTTAGCTATGGAATTTTAAGAATGAGTTAGAAGACTTTTAAAAGACATTAAGAAGTTGTCTTATTGTTAAGAGATTATGAATATATGTTTGGTTGAGACATATTGTATATATAGTTCTTGGTCTGAACAGGTCTGGAGCTTATTTTTAATATAAAATGTTTTAGGAAAACAAAGCTCAAGTTAATGCCACACTGCTGGCTTCTTGTCTTTTGTTACAAACATGCTGAAATGGTCTCAATAATGATGCTACTAAAGCACTGTATGCATTGTTTTGATGGGGTATTGATTCCTTTTGCAGTGTTCAACATTGCCTGCATGCCTCCCAGCAGCAAATATGTATGTGCCAGACTCTGTGAGATGAGGGCTCCAAAAATGAAATGTTAGTTTACTTTTCATAGCTGTGCAACTAATGAAAGGGAAGCTGTGGCTTTAGAGATGTGGCCTTAAGCACTAACACACTCAATCCAGTGCATGATGATCTGCAGTTACTTTAACAAAACCTAATCAGAGAGAACAAAAGCTGGCATTCATAGGATTATTTTATTTATTGATTGCCATAAGCCACTAGAAGGAATGTCTTATTTCTTTTAATAAATCCTTCTGGACACTTGTCTATATTTTAATATATAAGTATTTGGGGATGTGATTTTTAACAAGGTTAACTCAAGTGTTCGATGTAACGGCGTGAAACTAAGGTGGGAGAATGGAAGGGGTACTAAGATGGTAACCAAACCAAGCTCCTTTCACCAGCTGCTCTCCACCTGCCTCAGGCTGCAGGCCACTGTGCACAGGACTTCTTAGATACAGACTGCTCAGCATAAGGAGCCTGGATCCCGAATCAGGGAACAACCTGCTCAGGATTAGTTCTCAGACTAAAGACAGTAAGGATGATTGTCCCATGCTGGTCATTTACCAAGGAAGTGAGAGCATTTACTGTCACCCTTTGCTTCTTGTTGTTGTGGTCAGTAAGTGCCATAACCTGGTGATAGTTACATTTCAAACAAAGGTTGCACCCTCCTGCTCTTTGTGGGAACATAAGTTAGTTTGTTAATGAAGGTGAGTAAGTGTAACATTGTTGGGAAACAAAGCCTGTCAGATCCCTCTTTCCTGCATGGTTAGTCCTCAAGGCAGGCTCTTCTTAACTGTATGATTCCAGGAGAGACAGCAAGTTGTTACTTTGCTTAAAATGTCCTTCCCTTATGCAGTGAGAGTTGAATGTGAGAACAGACTTAATAGGTATAGTTACACAGTTTATTTTATCATGTATCACTTTATTGCTGTCTTCTAGAACATTGTTATACTAAATGTTCCAATAATGGGAATTTTATGCAGCTACTTCAAATGAAAGAAATTTGCAAAAACTCAATTTTGGAACTCATTCCTTGAGGAGAGGAGAGGGGGTGGGGGTGGGAGGACGACACCAACTCACCATGCTGTGACCAAATTAGATTTCTGATATGTTGGCAACTTATCAAACACTGTCATTTCCAGAAAACAGGGTATGGATTTCAACTGAAATGAAATGCCAGTACTTCCCAGCCACTTTCAATTGGAAATATTGGAGGTTTTAATATGATTGGTTAAATATTTGTAATTTTTTTTTTTGGTTGGTAACAGATGATTAAAATTTGGTTTTGTACCTGAATGAAAATGGCTCTCCATGGAATCAGGGAAGACTGTTCAATTGCAGGGGGAGCTTCGAGAGCTTGATTGTTGATTCTGGGAGATGCTAGTTGTACTTACTGGAGCTCCTTTGTTTTGCAGAGATCATGATGCAGCCGCCCTTTTGGATTTCTTTTTAATAATGTGTGACCCTTCACCTTTGATCCCCTGACCTGCATTACCTTGGTAACCATTTCATTTTTTAATTTAATTTCATTTTTTAATTTTGGTGTACAAGCTGTAACATTTCATCTCTCCAAGTGCAGCACACTGATTTCCTCAAGTAGAGATTCTCCTTTGAGTGATAAAATTGCAAAATGCTGTCTTCATTTTCTGTATTGAAATTCATTTTGGTTTTTAAGAATAAAGTGTAATCTGTGTTTTCATCCTTTTAAAATTTAAGTTTAATGAGTGCATTTCCCCATGTAGGGTATTTCCTTTTATGTCCATATTTCGCTATGAATTAGCTGATGTTGACATAAAATTCACATATACATACCCAGGCTGCCTGAAGCCTCTTTTTCCTTTTTACCCCCTTCCATGTACACTCATGCTCACATCTATCTTTGCCCACACCCGTCTTCACATTTACTACATAGCTTTGTTGCTGCCTTCCCCTCAAACACAGCAGCAGTTTAAATCTGGTAGTCTCGTAAATTTGCCATGTTTTGCATCGTCAGATTATATTTTACATTCTCAAGTTTTATGGAGAGAAAAAGTTTAAATGTTTTATTTCATTAAAAGTATAGAAGAATACAGTTCTATCATCCAATTTCACCTTTCTCCATCCTTTATAATCTACTTCTTTTAAACATAGGAGAAAGCAACGGTTGATATTACCCACAATGTTTTTGTCTTTGCTAAAATCTGGTCAGTTCTGGTGGACTCTATACCAGGTTAATTTATGCTATTGGCTCTTACATTTTTTTTCTTCAAATTAGTACATTGGTTTTTTTTTTGTTGTTGTATTTGTCTTAAAAACAAAACAGAACAAATTCCAAAACCATATTAAATTCTTTGAAATGGTGATAAATATCACCCCCAAAATCACATATAATTTCTTAGCATGATCCAGTAAAATACAGATTACTTTTAGTATCTCATTATTTTATTCTTTAATGTTTAATGCTGATATTTCAATTTCACACAGCTGAAACATCTAGGTGAACATTGAAGTCGATTTAAATCCTTTCTAAGCTTTTTTGATGTCTATGAACGTTTATATCATTCATTAAAATCACAGAGTATAAGGAGCTGCTCATTGGTGACAAGAACTCCTGTACTCTGCTGCATTACTTGGAGCTTCCAAGCTTGCTTTTGCCTGTTATACCCACATACTTGCAAAGCTGCCTCTGGCCTGCTGAGTTTCTGGTCACAGAATTGCAGAGCACTGGAGTTGAGGAATAGAAAAGACTCCTATGACTATGAAGCCCCGTGACTGTCCTGTCCTGGGGTTGGGGGCTGAACCTTGACTGCTCAGGTGATTTTTAATGATGATTTTATCATAATGCATTGCGCACCTATGCGCAGGAGTATTTTTCTCCTCCATTTCATTTGTGTCCTTTGTTTGTCTTGGGCACCATGTCCTTCAGCAGCAAAGGAATGGTGCCAGACATAGAGTTCATGGACTCTCAGAGTGGTGGCTGTCAACTCCTCTCCTCATCTGCCTGATGGCACCCGAGGGAGTCACAAGCTCCCTGTTGACAGAGTTGGCTCTCTAGAGTCCAGTACTTTATTCATAAATCTAGTAGGAATCCAGGACACATTAGTAGATGCAGAAGTGAAATGTTTTCTTTGTCATTGTGATTCGATAAATTAGATTTTTCCTTAAAGCTGCCTGCTTAGTACATTTTTAAGATAACCTATTTTTTCTCAGAGAGCTAGTAACTGAATACACTGACTTCTTATTTTAGATGAATAAAAATAGTTTTTGATTAAAATTTAGGACTTGTAGTAAGTTGTAAGCCCCACGGATATTGCTCAAGTAATTTTGATTCACTGAAAGAATCTTGCCTGAGAGCGAGAAAGTCTGTTCTGGACTACTCGGGTCTGGATGTGCTGTCAGCCCCGGTTAAAGCAGTTAACCCAAACTAAAAAGCTCGAACAGAGACTTCAGAAGACAGGAGTATGGTTTGAAACATTGACTTAGGAGGTTGGCTGTCAGGGAGGCGTTTGTAAGCCGTGTTCTTGCTGCTTCCATTGTAATATGTGTGAAATGTAGATACTGTATGTCTCCTACTTGCTTTTTTAGGGTTGTTGAGAGGATAAATGAAACACTGAGAACTCAGAAGAAAGGTGCTTTTGAAACTCAACCTCATCCTATGGCTGTGCCAAGAGGCAGTGGTAGTGAACCCCGTGGTGAAGGGCCAGGACCATGGCTGTGGAGCCAGGCTGCTGAGGTTCGAATCCCACCTTGGCCTCTTGCAAGTGTTTTGACTTCAGCACTTTATCTAGCTGCCCTATTGCTGAGTTTACTTCCTCTTTAAATGGGGTGACAGTAATAACATCCACTCACAGGATCATGGTGAGTCCTAGCAGCGTTGATGTGTGTGAGGTCTGTAGAGTAGCACTAAGTGCAGTGTGACCAGATCTGCATGCCACGAGTAGTGCATGCACCTCCAGCAAAGGAAGCTCTAGCTTTGCCTCCCTCGGCCGTTTAACACTGACTTAGAGGCCCTTGGATGCCTAGAGAGGACCTCAGAGCGTGTGGTAAGTAAGACGTGCAGGAGACAGAAGCTCCGGCAGAGCTCCACAGCCTCCTAGGCTCACAGCCGGAAAATTCAGCCTCTAGGAGCTGCCTTATCTGCTGCTGCTGCTGTTACTTTCCCCCCTAACACCCCCCTCCCCAGATTTTTTTAAAAAGTTTTTTTGTTTACCTAATTTTGACTTTGGAGAGGAAAGAGACTGAAGAGAAAGTCATCACTTGCCTGATTAGCTGGACTCACCCTTCACGCTACCATGGTAAACCCTGCAGCTAGCTTACAGGAAGTCAGGGTGTTGAGCTGCCTAGTGTTTCCCTCAGGTGCAGGAGGTTTCAGTGTCCTCTTGAGTAAAGGGGGAATGATCTCACTGACACCACGTGTACAAGGATTTATATCAGGTGTTCTTCTCAATGAATTTTAACACATTTTAATCATCCATATATTGACCCAGGAGGTAGGCAGGCCTGCATGAGCACACTGATGCTCAGGTAGGTGTAATGCATTTGTTATGCTGTATTCACTGCTCTGGGCTACTTTGCGTAAGACAGTTCTGCCATTTGACTGCAGGGATCAGCCATGTGTGTTCTCTTCCCTCAGTCATCAGACAGAGACATAATAGTACTAAGCTCAGTAAGATGTGACTGATAACGGTGGCTTCTTTAGTCCTGGCTGTGGATCTGGAGCCCCTTGCATAGTTAAAAACTTGCATCAGTGGCCCACTCCATGGTTCAGATCTTTTACTAACTGAGAACCACTAGTCAACAGGGTTCAGAAATCCTGGAAGTTTGTTGTAAACAAGGAAAAGAGCAGGTAAATAATTTGCACACATATAAATGTGTCTTTCTGGGCTGTGTGGGTCAGTGCTGTCACTTTTAGAGCAGATTACACTGCAAACCAAAGTGGGTCTCCTCGGGCTGACTTAGTGTTCAGCCAACACCAGCCAGTACCGACAGCTCCAGCCATTGCTGTGCACGACTGTCCTGAGTGAGAACTGGTCATCACAAGTCCAGGCTTGTGCTTAAGTTATGAGGTTCAGGAAGTAGAGTGCTCTTGATTTATTTCTGTTGCGTGATTAAAAAGCAGAAAACTGACAGAAAGCAACATAGAGGGAGAAAAGGTTTGTTTAAGCTCGGAATTCCCATCGCTGTGAGGAAGTCACAGCAAAGCTTGAGACAGCTGGTCACTGGAGCAAAGAACCACAGACACATACGTACTTAAGCTAACTTTCCGTACTCACAGAATCAGGGAATGGAGCTGCCCACCTGGAGTCCGCTTCTTTCCATATCAATTAAGGCAATCAACACAATCTCTGGCAGATATGCCTACAGGACAACCTAGTCTAGACAGTCCCACATTGAAACATTTTCCCAGGTACTAGGTTGTATCAGAAATTAGAACTAAGTACCACAGGGCCTTTTTTCTGCTTTCCATTCTGTAACCTTTCTTCTTTCCTTTCATCTGTTGTACATTTAGTTTTTCTTTCTCTTTTCTTCCTCTCTAGCTCTGGCTCTCCCCTCACCCATATCCCTGTCATCACAGTGTAATATGCTTACAAACCTAAGGGGCCTACCACATAGTAGGTGTTCAGATGGACTTTTAAATTTGTCTTGGTATCTGTGTTGGAGTAGGTGCCACCCTTTATTAGCCTGAGCATTGTTAGGCTTCATTTGTGATCATCTATCCTGGTTTGGTTCATCTTGAGGACTTAGTAATTTTGCCATATGGGCATTAGTAGGCTGAGAAATGCTAGGCTTTTCTCAGTCACCAAGCAGTGCAGGTTAGGCACTAGAATGGGCTGGGGTTGTCTTGGAGAGACTTCTTACCTTGGGCCCCTACATGGCTACCATGTAAGCTTTTAAACTGTAAGTTAGGTGATAACTGTGTTGAACCCCTTGATTTTGGTGATGAGGAATCTGCTCCTGAGAGGAAAAGGCTTCAGACCCTGTCACACCAATCCTGTGTAAGGGTGGAACAGCAAACATGGCAGTACAGAAGCTTGCCCTTAACTACCTACCTCCAGGAGTGTTGGTGGGGTCGTCAGAGTAATCTCCTTCCCTCCATAAGAGCCAGTGTTACAAGGTTAAGGTAATTCTGAGGAGATAGAGGTCTCAGTGTGAGTCTCCAGATCTATGCAGTGTGGCTTGGGTGTCACTTGGTGGCCTTTGAGGTTCTTTGATGACCTTTGCCCTCGTGGCTTCTGTGGGGGACTAAGGAAAAGACAGTGGGGGTGTGAGAAGTGCTCTGTCATTCCCCATGAAGGTCTGCCCAAGCCAAAGGGAGCTGATGAAGAAGATGACATTAGAATTGCTGCCAGGCAGGATGTCATGGAATCAGCACCCTGTCTAGTCCCCAGTTACTGGTTCTCCGACAAAGTAATGGCCATGGTTCCATGGAAGTGGCTCAGCCTTCACTTCCGGGCCTTTTCCTGGCTCCTGTGCTGATTCCATTTCTTAATCCTTCATTTTCCCAGAGATAGTGCTAAGAGGATAGGGTGAGAAACAGGTGAAATTTTTGGCTCAAGTCTGTCTCTGGGTCTCCCCTGCTGGGCTCTGTTCCCCTTAGGCCTCTGGCACATGCCCTTGCACATAGTAGACACTCAGCGAGTGCTCACTCTTCATTTCACAGTAGCTCAGGTAATTAAGAGCAGGAGCTGAAAGACTGCACGTATCTGTGCAGAGATATATCTGTAATTAAAGTTTTAATTAAAGAAATACCAGGCCAGGCAGATGGTTCTTATCCCCACATCCTGTAAACCTAAGAGCTGTGTCTTCTGGATCTTGCAGACAAAGGCAAGAACAGCAGCCTCCATAGTGGTACCGAAGGGGAGAGGAGTTTCACTAGCTGGCCGTAATCTAATTTTGGTAGCGCTCTATGGATGGCACATCTGGGGGTAATCATTGCAGTCTGATATGGAAAGACAATACATCAAAGGTATGTCCTGACCAAAGCTTTTAAGCCTCAAGTCAAGGGCATTACCGCAGCCCAGCTGGTAGATCACAAGGTGTGTGGTTTTGTGCCGGGTTACAAAAGCTGACAGAGTGTTATTTAGGATCATCAGCTAAATACGGTTGAAAGTAGAGCAGCAGCATCCTGATGCTTCAGGTGTTGCCACTGTGCAGCAGTGCAGATTGAGAGTGACTTGTGCCTGCCTGCCTCACAGTAGTCCTTCACTGTGTTGCCGTGACCTTAATGGTCAATCCAAGTGCAGATTTTAAAAAACACAATGACCACAAGAACTAACAGAAAAGACCTCTCTAGACTTTACCATTTTTCAAGACCTCCCAGTGACCTCCAGCCACTATTTTTTATTCCCATCACCATCAGCAGGAAGCTGGAGCAGTGCAGGGAAACAGTCAAGCCATGCATGGGGTGCGTGGTACCTATGTCACTATGACCTCCTGGGCCTCTGCTCCCAGGTTTCATTTATTTGGTCAGGCACACAAGGTTGAAGGCATTCAGGGCAGATGTGGCAGTACTACAACATTGCACCAGTGCCTTTTTTGCTATGTTCAGCATCACTGTCTTGAAGACACCTTTGTGTCTTTCACAGGGAGCATTTAGGTTAGAGGTTAAGAGCCAAGTCCTTCCTTTGCTGAGCACTGGGTCACTTCCCTTTCTCCATCCCTTCTATATGGCTTTTAAAGGCAGCCAATCTTTCCCAGAAAGAGCCTGTATTACTCCAGGATGGTAGATCTTGGAACTAATTTAATCTATCAATACCATCTGTAAATCAAGGCTCAGTTACCCTGGGAGGAATACATGTGTATAGGTGTGAGACCGGCCAGATCAAAGGGACCTGGTACATCCTGTGAGCAAAGTCTGTCTCAGGGCTGCTTAGAGATTTAGCTACCTCTGCTTGGGTTTGGGAGACTTCAGTATTTGGTGAGCTGTTCTGTGGTCTTAGCTCAGGGGAACGTGCTTTGAATGGTTTTTCCGTGGTGGTATCCAGAAAATGCCACATGATCCGGATGCAGGGTAGTGCTAGTGATTTCATTAAGCAGTATACATGTGCAAATTTGAACATGACAGACTGATATCTATTTTTTTCTGTCATTTGTTTTGAGACCTGAACTTTTTTTGGGGGGGGGGGGACTTTTTAGCAAATAGTCTGAGATTTTAGGAGGCTTCTAACTTGTGTAATTAAACTCTACTGCTCAGAAAGTGGTGCATATGACTTGTTTCAAGGTAACAAGGAGACTGTTTATCCAGGGAGGGACAGCATCTACAAAACTACCCAGAAGGGCTTGGTTTTTTTTTTTTTTTTTTTTTTTTTTTTTTTTTTTGAGGGAATGGGTAGTCTCACTTCGTAGTCTAAGGTGATCTTATCCTTGTATCCATGCACCTGCTCAAGCCTCCTGAGTGTTGGAATTATAGGCATGAACCAACTACCAAGACCAATGCATACTCTTTTCTGGTGTAGATTGGAAGAAAACTTTCATGCCCTCCTCAAAACTCTAAAGTCCCAATGTCTAGTATATTTATTCTTTTGCTCTTGTAAGCTGCTATCAGATGTCTAGTGTGGGGCTGCCTGGGTGCATGGAATGAAGCAGAAACAAGCCACACCTTCCTCTACAGACCTCTGCTGGTTGGGGAAGAACAACAAGGAACAAATATCAAGTGCCGGTAACTTGAGGGTTCATATGTGCCAGTTCCATGTATTAACTCACGGAGCTCCCAAGAACACAGGATAGTAGATCCCTCTTTGTTCCCAAATCCACAGATGAGGAAACCAGTTACCACAAAACAGCTTGTTTCACCTCACTTGAGTAAGCAGTGCTGGTGCTATTGACATTCCATCCTAGCCTTTCTGATCCAGATTTTGTGTTAATGAAGGTGTCTGACCATTTCATTTCTAATAATTAGTGGTAGCAGGTTGAGCACTGAGGTGAACTTTGTCAAGTGGCCCCAGAGTCTGAGTGCTCTTGTGCACCCTCTTTCAGGTTTGACTTGAGCAGGTATCTAACTCCCTTTTGATAATATGAAGGATGTAACAATGAATGAACCATATAGATGTCTGGAGTGAAAGCATCCCTAGTAGGCAGGACAGCCAAAAGCAGAGGTTCCAAGATGTGTGCAGGGCTGACAACAGAGAAGAGACTAGGAGGACAGATAGAGGATGATGGTGCTGTCCAGAGAGGAAATGAGAGCCACAGGGCAGGGCAGGTACCAGTAGTAGAATCCTGGGAGTTTTTGTAGGTCACAGGTAAAACTTTGTTTATTGAAACAAGAGTCTCACCTCTGTAGTCCAGGCTGGCCTGCAACTTGCTATATAGTTCCAGGCTGGCCTCAAGGGAGCTGGTTTTAAAAGGTCAGAATGAAATAAGCCTTAATAGATGGCACTCTCTTTCACCCAGTAGTATATTGTGATGTACGTGGACATGTACCACAAAGGTTGTTAGGATATAGTGCTGTTTGAGTACAGTCTTTGAAGTTGGTGTGTTATTGTGTTCTTTAGGCACACCTCATTCTAGTAGGGGCACGTTTCAGGTGACCAGGAAGTTCATGGCTGCCACACTGGTCAGTGAAACTCTGCAGATGACCATGGAAGTGCAGTCTAGTTTCAGAGGACAGAGAAGCTCAGGTTCATGAAAAGTTGGGTGGGTGGGCCTGAAACCACCTAGCTCCTAGTTCTGGTTGTAAGGCAGGAGAGGAGACCCAGTGTTGAGGGTTCCTGTTTTAAGTAGCCATGGAGGTGAGTCGGAGCATCTGTGGATCTGAGGGCTGTTCTTCCTCACTGAAGCCCCAGGATAAGAGCAGGAGTTCTCATAGGAGTCCCAGAGCATGGTTCATCATTTCTGTAGTATCTTCCTCAACTTGCAGCCTTCTGATGCTTTCTGTCTGCTTTCATTCAAGCAAGGAGTAGCTAATAAAGGTGTTGCCCCTATGAATGTTTCAGACAGTCTTTATTTCCATGTATCTTTTGATGCTGCTCTTTATTTTGGCATAATCCTCAAATCCTTCAAATTCTGTTAGTAATACTTAGCTCAACAATCTTGAAGGTGTTTGAATCTCCACAGAAGCCGACTTTTAGTAGCTTCAGGGCATTTCTGTGTGGTACAGACAGCAGTGTGCATACTCTACTGTCCTCTTGATAAAGGCCAGGTCATCATTTTGCCTTGCAGCTTAACCACTATATAGTTTATTTCTGCACACACACAAATCAGTGTGTGTATATGTGTGTGTTGGCTTTGACCACGTTGGGCCTTTGATAATAAAAGTCGATTCAAAATGTGAAAACTGTTTTTAGCCTTAAAGACTGGGGAAAGGTAAGGTAGTTTGCAGGGACAGAGATATTGGCTCACTTCTGCTGGACTCTCTTTTTATGAAGACTATTAATGCAAACTTAATCTGAGTCCCAAGAGAACGCAAGATGGTGCTCTGATTCCATCCTCTTAACAAGTCTAAGTTTGCTTTAGGGTCCCTTTTATTATTTTTCTGTACAGTATTAAGATTAACTAGGTCTGGAGGCAGAGGCAGGTAGATTTGAGGCCAGCCTGGTCTACAGAGCAAGTTCCAGGACAGCCAGGACTACACAGAGAACCCCTGTCTTGAAAAAATCAACAACAAGAAGATTAACCAGGAATTCATTTCAAGATCTAAGCACAGGTATTTAGGAAGCTATTTTGAGTCCTGTGTATTGTGGGATTTTTTTTTTTTTTAAATATCAACTGGTATCAAAAGAGAGGAGGGGGATCCAACTGGTCTGTAGCCTGTCAGAACCCAGGCTGTTGGTTGAGAACTTTTTCCTGCCTAAATCTATTCTTGCATTTAAGGGGATGGGGAGCTCAAGAAATGTGTATTAGAAACAATGAAACTGACTCCTACTTAAACACTCTCTGACTCTACCCTAATGAGAACATCTGAGGAGAAGGGCATGAATACCAAGAGTCAGCTGGAAATTAAGGTATTAGGTGAACTTGAATGTTTTGCTTCACTGCCAGTTGTTAGTGTTTTGCCTACAAACTGACTCATCCCTTCATACACAAATCCTGATGAGCAGTGGGTCTCAGCGACAGAAAGGGTTGTCTGTTACCGCACTTGTGAGTCACAGCACAGGCCATGGGAGATCCCAGAGGCTTAGCTTTGAAGGCAGTGTTAGCACAATTACTTCCCTGGTGTGCATGGAATTGTAATCTCATTAAAAGTGAAGGTCAGTTTGTCCAGACTAGGAAAGTGAATTTTGATCTTTGGCCACTGTTTTTAATTTAGATCTGGGTTACTAGAGTTCTGAGAGATGGAGGTGGGGGAAGAAAGGACTAAGAAAAGAAATCCAAGGTATAACATTTAAACTTGTGACATATTTATTTTGAAAATTTGTTGCTGAACCTTAAGGCTTGACTAACATCGCCCAAAAGCAGTGTTTGGTTTTCCTTGGGCAGGTGTCTACCCATTCCTTGTCTTCATCAGAGTCCACATACACACCTAAAACCAAACCCACAGCTCTGGCCCATTACATTGTGCCCCCGCCCAGCTATACCTTGCTTACCTCTTGACCTCTCCCTACACCTCTAACACTTTTCTACCTCTGTTCTCTGCACCAGCTCAACCCATCTCCTCGCAGATTCTAGAGGCTTCTCACAAACCCTTCTCTTGAGCTCTCTTCAGTGCCATTAACTCCAGCTAGCTGTTCTTATGGAGTGGTACCCTGTATCTATGTGAAGGTCCTTGGTACAGTGAATTGTCACTATCTCTTTCCTCAGTGAGTTAGGAGCTCTCTGGGAGCTGGTGCTAGGCCTCCTTATTTCTGTTTCCCTGGAGCACAGCCTAGTACTAGCGTGTGGTGTGAGTGAGTAAACCAGGGTGGGTGGGGGAGAAGTGAGGTGGGGTAAAGGCACACTCAGGTCAAAGGGCAGACTGAACTGATTGGAGAAGAGAAGAGTAAATGCTGTTTTTGTTTATGCAGGTCTTAAAATTATGGTAGCAGAAAGCAAAGGTGCAGAGAGCAGTGGAAACAAGTCAGAAGCTGCTGTCTGATTCCAGAGATGTCCACAATCTATGACATGTGGTTTATGTTGGAATCTTCAGTTTATCCTGATATCTCAAGTTGCTAATTTAGTTGAATAACACCTGGGGAATAGGTCATGAGTACTTTGATCCTCTTCACGATATAACCTATTCTAAGCCCATGAAGCATTGAGCATAGCCTGGTGCTGTGGGCCTTTTACTCCCCCTTAAGCCCTGAACTACAGTCCTGCTTACATTGTGCTAATCTGAGGCCTGGGAGGCAGCCAGGCACCTTTCACTCCATGTGCTCCACCTGCTGCCTGCCTGCCCCTCATTCTACCAGCTCCTGAGCTAGGGAGGTAGAGACTTCTGAGGTTTCCTTTCTGTGGCTTTGTGCTTTGGGATAGTTTCAGGGCTACAGTGGAAGTCACTGGCAGCTCCTTAAAATTTTACATTGATTCGGAAGTGTCCTTGACTTCCTGGGAAACTAGCCTGTGGTGACCAGTTAGAAGTGCTAGGAGTTGAATCAGCCTTCTCAGTGCTCAGACAGACTCTAGCAAGGCAGCCTCTCGAAGTATTGTCTGTTCCATCAATATGTACTTAGACACATTAATCCGAGTTAGAGAACTGATTGTACCTAATGGCTCCCCTGGGATGCATGTCAGAAAAAAACAAAAACCAAAGGAGTGTGCTGAATATGCAGAGTAAGTAAAAAAAAAATCCTTGTAAAAATAGTGTTAATTGAACTTGGACCTTGATCATCTTTGAGCTTTCTATTCTTAATTTGGTTCTTTAAACAGTCTGTCTCAGAGCCTAATAAAAGTTATACTGTGACATTGCCAAAAAGACATTTTATACAAGAAAGACCCAATTTTGAATTATCTTTGGGAAATAGGTCATGTGGGGTAGAGACACATGTACAAATACACACACACTCATAAGTGTGTTTAGAATATTCTTCAGTTGTCCTTTACTCACGTGTTTCCTCTCTCTGCCTCTGGAAGTGGGGCACATTTTCTTCAGTTAAGAACAGAAATAGAAGCGACGGTCTTGACCCATTTTACACCTGTTTATTTCAGGCTCTCACCACACACTTGTTCATGGGCGCAGCAAGAAGAGGGACCCACAGAGCTGGAGCCGTGAGGGCTGGCACATTGGGAGGAAGCTGGCAGAGCTCATAGGGAGAGCTTTCCGTCCTGCCAGCTTCATATCTGCTTCAAGACAGTTGTATCAGTGAATTCATTTCACTTTAAACCCCAGGTTTATATGAGTTGAATCTTACTAAAAATGAAATAAGAGTCAAGTGACCTACTCTTGCTTCATGCAGTGTGCCTGTGAGAGGGTACCGCAGCCGCTTATCTCTAGGGAGTAGCCTGCACTGTGTATTCCCTGCTTCCAGTGTCTCTCCGGCCCCCAAACTTACCTTTTCTTATTACCATTCACCCAGCAATAACCTGTTCATGTGTTGATTACTGCCTCCCAGAAGAATGGAAGCTCCATGAGAGCAGGGCCTGTGTGTTGTCTCTGTCTCCAGCACACAGGACAGCGCCTGGCATTTCAATAAATGCGGTTCAGTGAACTAGTGGGTCACTGGTGTTGCGTCATTTCTCATTCTTCTCTTTTGACTTACTGTTTATATACTTTATTTATGTATGCCTTTCAGAATGGTAACATAAATAGGAAGTTTTGTTTTGCAGCTAGTTCAGGGAGATACAAGAAGCAGAGTATCTGAGATGGTGGGATTAGGGATTGTAGAGCCACTGTGTTGTGGTGTTCATGCTGCCTGAGTAGCAACAGACAGGGGATGTGAGTCGCTTCCCTGGCATGTTGTAGCATCACCACCATTGAAGAAAGTCTAGGAAAAGACATAGTCTCCTCAGTATCTATGTCAGTATGTGACAGAGTTCAGTCCAGTCCAGTCCAGGTGCTGTTTAGAGTAGGCAATCACTGACTAGGACTTATGGAGCTGGATGGAGGTAATAAGGCTTAGGACATCTCAGCCATCAGTGGACCACACACACTTAGCTGCCTCATGTGAATTTAGTACTTACTAGTCGCAGAACTATCTTAGTCTGTGCTCTCTGTGATATTCACATGTCGCCCAGAGCACCCAGAGGCAATTGGTAAGCATGCATGGCAGTATGTAGAGAGAAACAGCAGAAGTCCTGGCCCAGAAGCCCTTGCGGCCCACCTTTATCTGTTTGTGCATTGGCAGAGGTCACAATACAAGGATTATTCCTGCAAACCCTGAGTTTTTGTTTTTGAACAATGACCCAAGGAGACAGTGTCCTGTGAAGTGGCCCTGGCTCAAGGTGAGTTTGTCTGTAGCGTTGGCTTGTGAGGAATAGCCTCCAGGTGTAGTGTGTCTTATCTGCCAGGTTTTGTTCCCTTCATTGTAAACTTATTACACACGGAAGAAGTCAACTAAACCATGACAAAGAACCAATTAAACCTGAGTTTCTAATACCTCTGCTCAAACCAGACCTTTCTGTGTACCACACAGCAAACCAGAAAACTAAAGCCTTTGGTGTTGTGATGCCATTTGCACTAGACAAGTCATTGAGTTATTTTGAATGTCACTGTTTTCCTCCCATGGAAGTGTAAGACGTGTGAATTTTGAGACGAGGGTGTAATTGCAGAAAGGGGTTAATGAGGCAGAACTCACAGACCCCTACTTAGAATTGTGTGGATGAATAAATCCCAGTAGAGGGTACAGATGTAAGGAAAATTTTTGGTTGTAGTAAAAAAAAATGCAAGGTTGAACTTTTTACTAAAACAGAAATTTCGAACCTCTTGGGGTAAGTTGTATTTTACGTAAGTTAATTTGCTTAGAGCAGCAACCCCGGATATAGTGAACACAACTACATGCTCTTTATTGAAGGGTTGAAGTACAAATGAAATCATGTTTTAATCCTGCTTAATAAAGTGCACTATAATTTGTTATGGTCAACATCTCCTTTCTAATTCGTCACAGAATGGTTTCTCAGATTAAGAAACCAACTCATCTCTTGGTGTTCCCGTTTGCGTGTGGACGAAGCTGGGAGTGGTTGACAAGGTCACTGCTCTCTTGGGCCAAAGATGGAGGAGCAATTCTTCATGCATTTTGAATTGTCTTTTCACCAGACTGAAGATCAGATTGACTTGCTGTTTGCATTTGCTACGGTTGACATGCGTACCTTTTAAGTTTTGTGGGGTTCAGTGAAACTTCCAATGGTTGTCTAAAGCCGCTGTTAAAATTTCATACTTGGCACTTCATTCAAAATCTAGCTCTCATTCAGTGTTCCTGCAGTTTAAATGACGTGCCATATGCTTTGAAAGAGCCATCCCATGAGTTAGTGCCCTCTGGTGGTCCACAGAGGACATCAGGCAGAGAGGGACTCTGACCCAGGAGCCTTGGGCTCACTCTGTAAAGAGGCATTGCCTTACAGTTAGTTAGTCATCTTTTCCTCCAGGTGCTGATTTACACCAACTTGGATTTTTGTCTTTTGTTTGTTTTTTTTTTTTTTTCTTACGTTTCATGCCTGCCGGTTTACTACACTAAGTCAACTCCATTGCCAGGCTTAGTGCCTTCTTCACATGGGCTTGTTGTAAGAAAGAATATGCTAGTATTCAGATTGCCCAGGATGCATTCTTTAGCCTGCCTTTTCAGAAGGGACATGCTGTCAGTTCCCGAATTAATGAGAAGGCCTCCCTGCTGGCTTTGGGTGATTTACAGGCATTGCTTGGCCCAGGCTTGGAGGGTTAGTCTCCATGGTCTTATTTGTCCCTCTGGTATTCGCTGGAGCCAGCTTTCCCACCGAAGTCCCCTGGCCAGAATCTATTACTCTGGATTTCGGCATCAGGCAGAGCAGACACCAAATCTGTCTGCAGTTCTGCGTGGCTATAGGGCCTGGGGAAGTGGCTATACCTTGTGTGGGTCTCTATCAGTGAAACTTGTCTCAAACCCTGAAGAGAACAGCTTGGAGGATGAAGCTAAGGGGTGAACTCAAGGGCCAAACAGATGAACTTTCCAAGATTGCTGCGAAAGGCATGTTCGCCTCACTGAACAGCAAGCCCTGCCTTTGGTACTTAAAATTTGACAATTAAAACAAAAACCAACCCTTTATTTTGGGTTAACTTTGTATTTAACATCAAAGTTCCGAAGATGGGACTGAGTTTACACATGCTGGTAAGCCCTTTGATACCCTTGGGTTTTCTTGAATGTGTTCCCTATATCATCACTTAAAACCTGGGTCAAATTTGGTTTAGTTGTCCACTTAGCTCTTTGCTCAAGACTGTAATGTTTGCCTCTGGTCCCTGAGTTCCACTGTAGACCTGGTACTTGTCTGCAGACTACCTTCAGTTTTGACCTCATTTCATGTCTCTGGCTATTTGATGTTAGAAACACTTTCTGTGATTTTTTTTTTCCAGCATCTTCATGCCTAAGTTTACCCCTATTTGTACAGTTAATTGATAGGCACAGCCTAAGTAGACAGGGTGGTCCGTGACAATCGTGTTTCAGCGCTGTGTTTTCGGTCTCAGAGCTGCTTCTCATACACGTTAGTAGAAGGCTCCACAATCTGCGATCTAGTTTTAATACATATATGGAAATACATGGAAACTCCTTGCAGTTCACATACTTTCATTTAAGAAAGTGACATGCCATGTCACTTGGCTTCTTCATGCGAGGGATGAGTAGGGAAAGCTTTGTCCTTTTTCATGAACAAGATGAAGTAAGAGCAACGGTTGATTTGGTTGAGAGCCACAGTGAGAGCACAGACCTTGGTCCCAATCATTCTGCAAGCAGTCCAGCACCTCCAGCCATTTCTCCTGCAGCCTTTGCTTTTGAAAGACTGCTGTTACCTTTACATCGATGAGACTCCTAGTGACCTTAGGCTAGTTATGCATAACAATTCTTTAACTGTCTAGTAGACAGTTTCCTTGTTCTATATCTTCACTAACTGTTTCGAAGTTGGCATTGTTAGGATAGAATTAGCAAAACTTCACTCTTCAGGAGAAACCAAGGGTCAGGCAACACGGGCTCTCTTGTCCTTTGGTTAGTGAAAGCTGTGTTGACTCCATCAGCACTATGATGGGCTCTGAGGTGATGGACTGCTTCTGTCAGGCTGTAAGTGCTCTGTGAACACTAGGTTGTATAAGATAAACCTCGTCAGTAGAGATCTGCAACATACAATTTTTGTTTTTGTAAGTACCACTGAGCTATTTGAAAGAAACGTGATAAAAGCCAATCCTTGAGAAACTAGTAGAACATCTTACGGAAAAACTGGGATGCAGACAGAAGCAGCATCTCCAGAGAGAAGTTTGCATGCATGATGGAGGCAGTCATGCTTTAGGTAAATTATAATACCCTACCCGTTCCTGTCCTATGAAAGTTAAATATTGTTGTCACCTGTCTTGCTCTTGTGTTGATTGATGTCCATTTCTAAGAACATCACAGCTTAGAAGAGTCCCCTGTACTGGTGGTTGTGGTAATTAATAACAGGCACTGGGCTGTCAAGTCTCAATTCACCACTTAGGTGAGTTTGGCAGGTGGGGCTCGTTGCTTTTCTGTTGTGCTCTTTTGAGATGTAGCTCCAGCTAGTCTTAGAGCTGCTGTGTAACCGGGGACAGTTTAGTTCCCGATCCTCCTGCCTTCGCTTCCTGAGTGCTGTCACACCTGGCCCTCGTGCTTTGCTTGCTTGCTTATTTCTCTTGAGATAGTATCTTAACTATGTACCTCTGGCTTGCCTGGAACTCGGCGATCCACCAGCCTCTGTTTGGAGAGTGCAGGGATTAAGGCATACCTCCAGAGGTCTGCTTTTCTTTTGAGTCAATAGCATAAGTGGGTCTGCAAGGACAAATGAGTGGGTTAAGATACATTTTGATTCTTTGAAAGCCTAATAGTCTCATTAAAGCTGAAGAAGTGTCTGGAGTGTTGTCTGTTGTCTGGCACCCAGAGTAGGCTGTCCGTACAGTTTCTGGTGTTGTGTGGGTCTTGGTTGTTGGTTTGCTCACCCTCTGCATCTGAATGGTTCTAGGAAGCTATAGGACGTGGGACAGTCTGCTGAAATGAAGAGTGAATAGACTTTGGACTCTGTCATCCCATCAACAGGGACAGTTTCAGATTGGTAGAATCCAGGATGCAGATGTTACTGTCGTGGGTGTTCCTGGGGGAACTTTAGTTTACAGTGAGGCCTTTTCCTCTTGAGGCCACGGGAAAGGCCACAGTGCTGGGCTTTCTTGGATAGTGAGTTTTCCTGTTCACCATTTGAGAGATGGAACACTTCCTTTCTCTTGTGTCAGACTCTGTAGCCTACTGATCCTATCTGGAAGAGACATTACGAATATGGTTTGTATATAAAAAAAATCCAAACCATTAGGCCTATTCCCTGGCTAGTAAAAGACCCAGTTATCCAAATACTGAAACCACAGATTTCTCTCAGCTGTGGACGGGTACTTGTTTGCATTTCTGTCTTTTTTCCTACTACATAGAAAGCAGAAAGCGAACAGAGACTCTAGTTGGAAATGAAGATCTGAGCTGTCCGGTGCCGTGTTGCAAAGACAATTAGGGAAACAAAGCTGGGTTGATTGCTTGTGTGA